GTACTTGTTTGAAACCGTCTTCTACCGTAGCAGGCCAGACGAAGAAGCTCTCCAAAGACGGAATGTAACCAAATTCATGAATAGTGCCAAGGAGGTTGGCGGCTCAGAACATTCTATACCCCAAGATCGTAACATGCAACTAAGAAACAGTGAGAAAGAAGAGCCACTTCAGATCTGATAGATGTACAAAGGAAAGACTTCGAATATCATGGGTACCCTTAAACATTCGACGTCCAATCGATACGCACAGATCGGTTCAGCTGTAGCAACAAACTTACACTAACATTTTATGGCTAACAGCTAACCATTTTTGCAAAACAACTTTCTACTGTTCAGTCTTGCATTGTTTTCAGATGAAGTTTGTACCTGTGAGCTTATGTTTGCAATATAACTTTGGTAGTCCATAAGTAGAGTCAAGTTCGTCTCGGATATTGAAGTGAAGGGATCATTACGATTACTATCGTCATTCTCTCTTACTACTTTTTCTTTATCACCTTCAACGTCTCCCATTTCTTTACCTTGTTCCTGTTTCACACGAACACCATTCAGCAACTGTTTTGGAAGTCCTTTCAGGAATATGAACGCTATTAATGTCATCGGTTGTTTCTGTTCAGTTTTTAGTCGACTCCTGTTAACTTCATATTCAAAGTCGCATTGGATTTGAAATGCAATTCCGTGTGTGTCACAAGCATTTATGTTTTTCCAGGCTACACTGCAACACTGTTGTGCATCCACGCACAGCAGGTGTTCAAACATTACGGAACCTTCGCCTGCTAGAATGGTCTCCTAGGCCTTGAGAAGCAACGCAGTTGCGCGATCCTGAAGCACAACGCGAATTAATAATTTACAAAAATTATTAATTTTTTAGGCAGCATTGATGGAATCCGACTGCACTATGTTTATAGCATTAACGCCTTCTTTGTAATACTTACGGATCAATAGGCAATTCTATTGGTACCCTCAGCGGGTGTCAAAAACGCATGTTCTGGAACCAAGACTGTTCTCATGTTTGCGTGCACCTTAAAATACTGCACTGTTGCCAAGAACGTGTATCTTGAAACGAATCAACATTGTATTGTTCCTCATTCAGCAGTGGAGGGGTCCAAAACACCACTGAAACTTGGATTGCATAAATCTGCCCTCCTGCACCCGTTAGATTTTTAGAAGCAGAGTGTAGCTTGCTATACACCCTGTGTACTGACTTGTACAAGTCACTTCCCACGGCAGTACTGGCACATCACATCTAGCATATTTTATGCCAAATCATAAAATCAGAAGGCTTCCGACCGAAAAATACATTTCCCTTACGAATATCTATATTACAGTGCGGCTGTTGTACACCCAGCCGTCGCAGGTGTTGAAATATTTAGCTTTGACGTTCTTAAAACTCACCTCTCTCTCGTGTAGAAGCAAAGGACGATGCCACTGTACAGTAATCAGTTGTATCGGTCAATCTTACGGCAGCATGAGTGTAATCCAACTATAGATAGCTTAGCACCTAAAGTTATGAACACAATAACCATAGTGACTAACTGTCATTTTCGACTCGAATGCCAACAGGGCCAAATCATATCGCAAATTTTGGTGGAAAATATTTCGAACGCGGTGGAATTCGTCGAATCATCTGTGCGAAATCATTCTGGTACACTGTTGGTCTTTTCTGAGTATCGAGGGAAGGGTATTTCAATGTCTTGCTTGCCGATGACGTGGTGTTTACACGTAACAACTTTGCTGAGCCTCTTTTTAGGTGATAACACTGAGCCGTTTACAGAAACAGAACGTATCTGCTGTGCGATGTCCGCTGTATCGGTAGGCTCTTAAAAAAAACTCGAGGGTACGGTAGTGATCTTCCAGCTTAACTCGCCAGGCCATCGCTGTAGACGAAGGAACCGAGACACTAAAATTGGTCAACTTCCTGCAGCGTTTCGCCACAATGTTCCACCTGTAGTAGGTCAACTGTGTTGGATAGATTCTTCATAACGTTCGGCTTCTGAGTGCTAAGGAAACGCCGGCTTGCTCAGCTTCGTGGCATATGAAGACCGAAACCGTCAAGTATTAAAATCCATTGCCCGTACTCAGCGGGAAGATATACTCTAGCGCCTAACGTCTAGAAATGCTGTATGTTAAAAATAAACAAAACAACGAACAAGACGATCGCTCAACAATGAAATGACAATCTTAAGGAGAAAACCTTGCACTGTGGTTCGCCGTTAGCCACGTTGAGTCACAACAATGAATGAACATATGGCTTACATTTAGAGCGGGACGGTTCAAATTCTGTAACTAAAACTTTTGGCCAGCTGAAAGTTTTATCAGTTTGAAAGATCTGACACCACAAATATGGGTGGTTTAAGCTTCGTTCAAGTGCTAGGTCTTAGACGACGACAACAGAGACGAACACCGACCTGTAGCGCATTGAATATCAGCTGATGTTCGAACTTCTTCACACCCAGGATCTGCTGGAACAGGTCGTACAGTTGTTCGTTGCTAAGCACCGCGTCGGCGTTCGGGTTCTGCGCACAGCGAGGTTTCGATTTGCGGCCGACGTTTTCCTCCTCGCTGTGGTAGATGTACTCGAACTTGGCCATCCACGAGTTGATCACCGTCTCCTTGCTGATGCCGTTGATCTC